TTTCATATAAGTTTCTGGAGAAGTGTTTTTTATTTGAGCTACTAGAGAGGCTGTTAGTTTGACTATTTGCAAAGTTTTTTGTCTTTTTAGTAGTTGTTTATTACTTGCTGGTGACGCTTAGTAACTATGAGGTGGTTTATTATTTTTGCTTTTTTTAGGCATTTTGTATAAAATCAGAAAAGTTTTTTTTTATCTAAATTTTTTTTTAAAATATGGTGGTTCAACATGATCTTTATTAAAATAAAGTAAATTATAAAAAATAAAGTACAAATCAAGAAAAAATGAAAATCTCGTAAAGAAAAGAAAAAATTAATCTAAAGAAAACTGAACTTGCACTCCTCTGAATCAATTCTAACCTAAGCTAAAACTATCATTTTTGAGAATATAAAATGAAAAAAGCAGAAGAGGGCTTGGCCACTACTACACCAAAAATTCATCCAATAGGATCCAAGTTATACCATAGTAGAAATCAGACTAGGGTTATTGTTGTTGTTGAGAATAGCATGTGAGAGATCAAAACTAGAAGAAACAAAATTCTTATTTTTTTTGATCAATATTAATGTTTGCAGATTTTTTTATGGTCTGATTGAATGATGCATCTTTTCATCCAAAACCTCTGAATTTCTTCAAAAATAAATGCATAAAGGAGGAACATACAGCTAAGGCTGTAGGCATATAAGGATTTGAGTGGTGGATAAATTCAAAAAAGTTATTAGGAATAATGCCTTTAATGATAATAAGAAAAGAAGCAGAGTCTAATAAGCTCTACTAATTAAGTCTTTCTATATCACCAACTTGTGCATTTGTAATAGATTTCAGATAGTCTTTAACATATTAAATAAGCAATTTCATTTCATAGTTGACTATAGAACAAAGCTAAATATGGTAGGAGTCTTTATCTGCAGCGTTACATTTAGGACATAGTGAAGAAGATGGAAATAAGGTTGGGTGTCTGACTTTGAGAACCTCAATGGTGGATAGCATTTTAAGTAAACGTTGGTATTTCTTTTTTCTTATAGTAAAAGTAACATAGGTTATTTAGTTGTAATGATATTATCTTTAAGACAAAATGATGTTAAAAACCAGTTGGATTAAAAGATACAATAGTGTTTAGAGACAACATGAAGAGTAATAAATTGTTGTAGATGTTCAAAGCGGTAATATTCCTTGATGAATTGTCTTATTGGAATGAGGATGGAATGGTTGTCAAATGTAAAAAAAACATTTAGAAGCAGTAGAAATGTTAAAATGCATAATAGGAGATACAAAACCGCTTTTGCTAGTGCGTCTACTTTATTGTTAAAAAAATTATTAGAGTGTGCTTTAACTTTAATAAGGGAAACATTGAGGTTGTTGGTTATGATAAGTTCAAAAAGACAAGACCAATGCACAAAGTTATTAATTTTCAAAAAGGGTCTAAAAGTGGAAGAGTAATATAACAGGAATTTATTTTGTTGAACTGGGAGATTGTAATTGTTGAATCAGTATAAATTTTGATTGTGTAATTGCGAAGAGCAGTTAAAAGAGCAGTGAAAATAGCTGCAAATTCAATATAGAAGAAGATGGAAAACTGGTAGCAAGAAACATGCTAAAGGAAACTATTGGTGAATTTAGGTGTATTTGTAACTAAGCAGATCCCATTTTGATTAAAGGGAGACCAACGTTTTGTAAAGAACTGTCAGTATAAAATACTAATTCAGAGAACTGAAAAAAATGTGAAGAGAGTGTTAGTAAATTGATTGTACAGGAAAAAAATAAACCTGTCTATAAGAGTATTATATAATGGAAAAGTGGCAGGGTAAGGTATATATAGGAAATGTGGTTGTAATACAGAAATAGTACATGTAAGAATAAGTTCATTAAGTGCATCAATAGATAGAGTAGTGGATTTATAATCAGAGTAAAAGTTGTATGGAAAAGCCGCACAAAAAGCATGAGGAATAGTGAAATTACAATTAGATCTATCAGCATTAGCAGCAGATTGTTGGTGTAAAAGACATCGAAGATAAAATTTAATTTCGTAATATGATCAGGGCCTCTTTCATGAACATAATGTTTTAAATATAAGTTGTGTTAGTCTGCTTGAATTATTCTTCTAAGGACGAAGTTATTGATAATGTTGTTTCAACTAATAGCATACTATCTGTATCCAGGTACAAGATTTTGTTAATGTAGATTGTATCCGTAAAAATGATTATGAAAGTATAATCTAAGAATAAATCTATCTGTAGAAGGTTGCAAATGTTGTTCTATAATAGGAAACCACTTTATTAGTCTAGCAAACTTTGTATTATAGTGGAAAATTTGAAAAAGATCTTTATAAGTGAACATGTAGGTACCACTATAATTAATTAATTGTTTAACAAAAAGGATTGAGCAATGTCTTAGGTCATAGGCATGAATCCTATAGATTAGTTTAATAAAATCAAGGATTAGCGTATTTTCTTCCGTGATTACATTTGATTTTTGATAAAGAATATTAATTTTAATGTTAAATTTGTTTAAAACGCTGAACAAAGATGGAAGCCAATCATCACTAGAAAGTTAGGTACTGTATGGCCATGAAACTAAGGGACTATTGTGAAGCTATTCTTTATTTTGTAGATGATGTGTACAGATGTCAAAAGTAATTCCTAACAGATTAGTTTCATTCGTCATTTGTAACAGAGCGTTGCTAAAATTTTGGATTAAACGTTGATATAAAGGAGTAATATTATAAAAATAATGTGACAGAAAAAGAGATGAAGGTGTCTTTCTGGAAAAGCATAATTTTTTTTGAATAAAAGCTATATAAGTAGCAACGATTCTTGAGCATTGGTGTTCTAAAGGAAATGTGAGTTGCGTTCTATATTCTATGTGTAGAACAAGGATAGTATTATAAATGTAAGATAATTGAGCATCTGTTAGTTTTTTCTTTTACATGATTGTGATTGCTGATTTGATCTCTTCATGAATCTGGTTTATAATAAAGGTTTTATTATTCTTGAGTGAGATCCAGATGCTAAGATATCTGATACTCTCTTTTGGTTTATATGCAATGAGTTGATAAGTGACATTATTAGTATTAATCACAAAATGATCACTTTGAGCTTTGTTAATTAAGAGCTCTAATTTGGGCCAATTGATCTGTATGTTATTGAAGGTATAGAAACTATTGGTAATATTAATAATAGAAGAGAGATCATCTGCTAATTTGGTGATCCAAAGAGTATCGTCCATAAAGGCTAGAGTAGGAATACATTTATTTAGGTTAACTGTAATAGGTAAACGTATGTTGAGTTGCCATTTACATTACATTGTGTATTCAAATGTTGAGTTCTGTACTTTATAAAGTAGGAATCGTAATAGATACATCACAATAAAGGTGAAATAACTTCTCTTTAATCAATGCCAGAGAATACTAAGTATTGGTCTGTATTACTATATGATATGAAAATCTAGTTAAATCTTGGAAGAAATATCCTCATAATAATGTGGATAAAAGTAAATAGTATTCTGAGCCTTTCTATTGCCTTGACCAAGGTAAAGATATTGACTCTGTTATATGCCTTAGACATGTATTGGAGAAGGACCCAAAGTTCAGATTTGTTAGAGATAGCATCCTATTTAATATTATCTAGGATGTGAATAGAATCAAAGGTGGATTTAAATGGCAGGCCAGCAAAATTTGGTCCTTTTAAGATATTATGTTTGACAAAAACTGAAGCAAGTCATTGAGTAGTCTGACAAAGGCTTTCCTAAGGCATTCTAAGAGTGCAATCAGTCTGGTATTATTTAGATCAAACTTCCAGGGCTTAGATTTAAGAATTTGATATATATATGCAAAATTCTATCTTGTAGGGATTAAGAAAAGTTAAAGGCATTCGCAAATAAGCAGCCATAAGTATTTCTTTGATTTGGGGTCCAGATATTTGAGTATTTCATTCGAGATAGATGATGGACCAGAAGCTTTATTATTTAGTAGACAGTCGATGATTCAGTACCATTCATCGGCTAAAAGAAATGAAACAAGTTAGTTGTAAATCACAAGATTTATATCTTCTATAGGCTGGTAAGTGAGAATCTAATCATTTGGAATTTTTTTGTTTCTATGAGTAGTGTTGGCAATTCATTGAAAATGTCTATTAACTTCTTTTTTAACATCAACTTCATCTGTAAGAAGAAATTTATCTGGTTTTGAGTTATTCAAGCATCTATCGAAAGAAATGACTTTTCTTTTCTGATTTAAAATTGAATTAATCATTTGAGACAGATCAGCTTTGTAGTCATTAATTCTAAACTGAAACGCTTCTTATATACATTTTGTTTTAAATGCTTGTTCTTTGAATTTGGCTTTAATGAATAATCCTGCTAGTAATAATTTAGTATCTGAAATAAAGATGGCATTGCAACTAGTTACAACTATGTGATACTTATTTATCACTGGTTGCAATTAGTTGCAATTCAATTTTTATTAATGTTGTAACTAGTTATAACCCTGTGATACTTATTTGTCACCAGTTGCAATTAGTTGCAGCGTCATCTTTAATCTGGAAAAATAGACATAATGTGATCTATAGTAGGATTAGGATTTAATACCACCACTAGGGTTGTTGTAAGTTACGTTATAATGGTAAGTTACAATATAAGTTACATGTAAGTTACATGTGACTGTAATAAGTTACATTTATTATATATGTAATGCAGGTTAAAATTTAGATAAATCTGGTCAAATTTTTCAAATTTAAAATTAGTACTATATATTATAATATGCGAAAATGAATATTATTTATTATAAAATATAAGATATACAATTAATATGCTATTCAAAATCTAATTCTTCATAATCAAATAAAAATGAATCCTTCTAATTATATTCTTCTAAATCATCTATTAACATTGTATCATTTGAATTATTATTGATTTCTATTTTAACATTTTTTTTTCAAACTCTTTAACTAACAATGGCCTTTGCAATTTTCGCAAAATTTTAAGATTCCAATATATAAACACAATTTTTTTTACTCTTTCATTATGTAATCTATAGCGTAATTTAGTATGAATAAACTAAAAGCTGACCAATTCTGCTCACTAGCAGCTGAGGTTGCAGGTATCAAAAGAATTTTAAGAGCCACTTGACTTAATATTGGATATCGTGCCTTTAATAAATTCTACCAATTTATTGGCTTTTCTTTTATATTACCTCACAAATGTCTTTTTGCAAATCCACCTGTTTGGCTAACATATTCTGCTAATTCATTTAATACTTGACTAGCATTTTCTTTTCCTGCAAGTCTAATAATTTCTTCTTCAATAACATTATCTATTGTTGTGCATCAAGCATTCTATCTTTATATCTTGAATCTAATTTATATACAACCATAATTGCAGAATTATATATAAAGTTATTCCAACGTATTTTGTCGAAATCAATTACATCATCTTGAACTTGTTTTGGAATAATTGCATTGTTTTTAATTTCAGATTCCAATTCTCGTAATTTAACAAATGCTAATGAAAGAAATAGTTTATCACTTTTAAGTTGATTAATAAAGATAACAAAGGGTTTTAATAGGTTATGTAAATCCTTTAAATCTTTCCAAAAACTTTCGCTACTAAGATTAAGTACAATATTTTTATTAATTTCTATTTCTTCACCTAAAATAGATTGCAAAGCTGCTTTAGTTTGAAGAATATGATCAATATAATAAAAAGCTGATTTCCATCGTATATCAATAATTAATACTAAAGCAATTATACGTCCATACTTTTCTAATTGAAGCTGATAAAGTGTTGCTAAAGGAATTTGATGATTACGAAAATATTGTATAACTTCCTTTCCTTTTTCTAAAATTGATTTAGCCCAATCAATTTTTAAAATATCTTTTATTCAAAGATTAATACCATGTGCTTAACATCCAAGAAAACTTTATTAGAATATTCAGTTTTAAGAATCCTCTATGCAGCTTTTATATTAAGAGCATTGTCAGTAATGACAGCTGCAAATTTATCAACGTCTGCTTGTTCTATTGTAAGTTTTATATCCTGCGCAATATTTTCTGCAGAATGATGTTCTTCTTTGGTAGGAATTGACTTGTAAAAAATAGGTTTCAGTGTAGTAATCATATAATTGAGACCACCCATTAGTTATGAGACAAAAATATTATGTTTCGTTAAGTAAATTATTTGTAACAGTCCTAATATCCTTACATTCTTGATCAAGAAGAGTGGTTGAAAGGCTTTGGCAAATAGGTAATTTGAATAAAGGACAAGCTTTTACAAAAAAAGCTTTCATATTTTTATTTTCAAGAATGTTAAAAGGAATACCTGTGGAATAAATTGCATGCGTAAACAAACTTTCTAATTCCTTTTGGTCAGCTGCCATCATTTTAGTAATAAAACTATTTATTGTCATTTGTTGTTATTTAAAAGTTTGTTCAGGTGAAGGAGTAGGTGTTTCTGTTATATTAGCTGAAGGAGCCTGCAACGCATAATCGTTATAGTGACTTAGCAACTGTGATACATTTTTTACTTACTGTTTACCACATGTTTTACATTTATAATGCTGTTTTTCTTGAGAATTAAGTTGTATATCATATCCTTGCCAAAAATCACCTTTTAATCGAGGCATAGTATATAATAAAGTAATGACATGGTCAAAAACAACAAAAAAATACGAAAAATATCACATTTGCGACATTGAAAACTACATATTCGTGAAAAAATTTTTAATAGAAAATCGCCAATCACATTTTTTATTTTTATTTTTTAAGATACGTAACTTACCAGTAAGTTACATGCTAAATTCGATAAGTTACACAAGACCTTATAAGATATGGTAACTTAACAACCCTAACCACCACATTTACATTCTTAAAATAAGCAACATCGATAAATTTAATATATAAGGATGACTATTCAGAAGTCATGAGAGAGTTGTCAAGGCATTTTTTTATTACTTGTTGAATTTGTAGAGCAGCTTGATGTTCTTGTAAATGAAAGATAGACCTATGAGACGTTTTTTACATTAAATAAGTCTTGCTTTACTTATAGATATATATGCTTTGGTGACAGCAATGATGAAATATTGAAGTAGATCTTAGGATTGGTTTAGTAACGTTTGTGTCTAAACTGTCCTTTCAGTCAGATCTTTGAGTGAACTATATTTTGTCAAGTTGTCAATTTTAGTAGCAAACTTGGCCTATCTGTGGTCGTCCATATGAGAGTAGTTGTAAAATGACTTTCTAGGATTACGTCTGTCGTTTACTAAGATGTTTAAAAAATTAGTCATTGATGTAGTGACTATTAAATGATCAGAAACTGTGAAATTGATCGAAAGTGTTTGATATTTGAGGACGTTTAACGTTAACTCTAGAGTCATCCAAATATAATTAATATGTAAAGTAGAATTCAAATAAGAAAATGTATGATATGATGAACGATTATTATTATAAGTGATACTAAATATATCAAAAAGTTTAAATCTTAACAATGAATTCATATACTGAATCGTGTGAGGTGGATTTTGTATTCGATCTAAGTCTGCATTGAAGTCACTGAGTAAGATAATGTAGTAGTCATCTCAGGTTGCATCTGCTAAAAGTGAAGAAATATATATTTGTATAAATTTAAAAATAGCTTTAGATCCACTTTTGTTATAGAGAAAGTATGTATTAATAACAAGGAGTTTTTGTTTGTTAGCAAATTACAGTTTGACGTAAATAATACGGTCAAATTTGAAGTCATGTTTGAATATGTGTTTAGCAAGTTTTATGCTAAAGGAGAGGCTAACTCTGATCCTGCTAGATTGGTTCTCCTGAATTGTGCTAAAAATTGAGGTAAAATTTGGAAAAAAAATGGCTGAAAATGGAAGGACTATTGAATTTGAAATTAGTTTCTTGAAGGTTAATGATATCAAAATCATTGGTGATATAATATGACATTAAATAATTCTGTTTGGCTGAGTTGTGAAATGATCTAACATTATGAGAAGCTATATTAATGTAAGGTAAGAGGATAGATTAGTATACATATCAGGATTATCTGTAGTAGGGATAGTAATCATAATAAAATATAATGTTTAGTATGTGAAGCTACTAAGGCAGCTTTCAGTTTGTTTATCAAGTGTATCAGAGATAGGAACAAAATTCTGAACATCATGCGAACTTAAAAGACCCTTGTTAAGAAGCACTTGTTGGAAATCAATGCAAGTGCTTGAGAGGTTATTAATGACATTTGTAAAAAAGGAAATGCGTTGTTATTATTAGTGGCAAATCACAATCAGTTGTTCATTTGTCTTCTTTTGAAGAGAAACAGAGAAGTTTGACACATCGATATGTGGGAATTTTTCTTCTACGATTGAGACTTCAGGAGTGAGTGTTTTGTTATAAATATCAGCCTTTATCAGGGTGACTACTTTGATGTTAAAAGCTTTTTCTAGGACACTAAGTCTGAAGCGAGAGCTGATGTAATGGTTGTGAGTTACCTCAAGTTGTGTAATAACAAGGTGTTTGAAGTTTGGGTTTTGCATTGAACCTTCTTGAGCAGTTTCTTTAGACAGGTCATTATTATTTTTATTGGGTTTTGTTGGTTTAACATTGCTACTATTACTGTCACCAAACATTTCAAAGTCTATGTCATCTAGAATTTCATCTGCCTAGGACTGTTAGGTTTCTGAGATCCTAGTTTTTTGGGATACTTTTATTATTATTAGTTACAGGCTTTTGGAGCTGTAACGGTTTAGATACACTTTTATCATTTGAAGTGTTTTTTAGTTTCAATTTGATAGCATTAACGAAAGTGACATTATCCCTTACTGCATCTCATTGAAATAATTTTCTTAGCATAATGTAATTATTGAATTGCGCTAGTTAGAAATGCTAGTATAACTGTTACATATTATGGTCTTTTGGGGTTTATCTTCGTTTTGGACAGGTCGATGCATTATGATGGGCAGAGGAACAGATCGCACAAAGCTTCTGTTTAGAGTCAGTCCACTCAACTTTTTTTTATTAAGAGTGAGATCTGAGATTATCTTAGTAGCCTCACATAGTGCAGCAGAGGTAAAATAAAAGTACGCATGTTAAAGGTAGTTATAATTAGATCGAGCTTAAGGAACAATCCATGCTAAAGCTTCTACCATATGACCAATTTTCATTAGGTCACATGTGGTAATGTTACGAAGAAGGTTGGTTAATTTAATGGAATATTTAGATTTATCTTAGATATCAGCACGAGAAGAGTTATAACAGTGAAACCTGATCATATCATTTAGAAGGTAAATGCCATTTCCTTTGTCAAATTCTGTAAAGTTAGCATCTGTATCAAAAGTAATTGTTGCTCTTTGCCACTAGTTACAAATTTCTATGGTAATATAAGTAATCATTCCGTATTTGAAAAAAAGTTTTGTGAGGCGTAATTCAGTGATATCAAGTAGGATTTCAGTAACTGTAATAGAAAGTTTTGGGATATAAGAAGCTTGTCATTGTATAATAAGTGGAAGGAATGTGGTCTCATCCATTTGGGAAATCTGCACTTTACAGAATTCATCTCATTCAGCTTTGCTCAAAAAGGCAATCTTGAGAATTGTTTGTTTAAGATCATCTGGAGATTTACCACGTGTAATTCCTGAAATGGAAAGCAGCTTCATGCAATATTGATAATTTTTCAACAATCTCAGCAATTTTAGATATCTAAAGTAAACTTTCTATTTTTTCAAAAAATCAAAACCAAGTGCTCATGCTCAAATTCAATCTATATTTAAACTCTATAAAGAACAATTTTACTCATCTATAAATTTAGTTCCATCTACTCCTGTTAAAAAGAATCGCTAATATTTTATACAACTTTGACAAAATATAGCACCTATAAATGAAATTTCACTTCAGTATTAGAGATAAAAACAGAATTAAATCATTATCTTGAATTACCAATTGATGAAGAAACTGAACCTCTCTTATGGTGGCAAGCTCATTTAAATGAATTTTCAGTTTTGAGTAATATGGCTTAAGATTATCTAATAATACAAGCTATAAGTGTCACATCAGAGTAAACATTTTCAATTGTAGGAAATGTGATTACAAAAAATTGAAATTATTTACTATCAGAAACATCAAGAGCTTATTTGTGTGTGAAGAGTTGGATGTATAAAAATTTAGTAAATTAATAAAGCAGTTGTAATGAAACATAATAATAATGAATAAATAAAAATTTTTGGTAATTATATTAAATATAAAAAATTTTATATTAACACAAGCATTTTAATATACATTATTTTTTGTAAAACATGATAATTTTCATTAATGTGATATAATTAATAGCCTAAATCAAATATGCTCTATTTAATTCTATAATTAAAATTATGCTAATCTTATATTAATTAATTACCTGAATAATAATTTGAATAATGATCTTAATCTATTTTATATAATTTTAAATTTTTAATTTTATATTTGTTAATTTATTTAATTTATTTAAATTAGTTTAAATTTATTAGAATTGACTCAGTCAGATTGATTTTGAGTACTACTTAGAACCAGTTATCCAAAACTGCTTGATCAGTTTAATTTATTCAACTTGTAGAACTAGAATAGAACTAATAGAGTCATTCCCATCCCTCGTTAAACTTTTACCGAGATTCCGTCCCAGCTAAACTTTTAACTTTAGCTAATCATTTAACTGATAGATAAACTATTATCCAGATAGGTATTTTGGATTAATTTCTGATTAGTCTGTGTGATTGGTGCAGTGTTACCATATCGATCATTTATTTCACTAAAAAACTTCAAGTTTTTTACTGCAATATAGCAATTTTTTGTGAAAACTTTGCTATTTCTCTGCATACAGATGCAGTAATATTCTAACAAAAATATTTTTAAGTATTTTTACTGTGTATATGACATTATTATTATGCAATATTTTATAATTTGCACTAATTTAATTAGTTCGACTGCTAAGCGAACCCTTTAAAGATCATTTAAATTAATTAATGTCTTACAAATTATGTACAACTTAATTTTGTATTGTGTGCCTTTTGGAAAAAATATTAAATTTAATTTAACTTATACAAATTTTAGAGTAATTTAACGTGAATCACATGAACTTTCACATAGTTTCACCTTTTATTTATAACATAACATGTGTTTAATTAATTAATGACACACAAATTAAATGAAACAAGGAGCAATTTGTTGCACATATTATCAGAACTCCCTAATGTAAACTACTAAACTATGTGAACATCAGAGTTGCTATTTAGCATAAATTATAGAATATCTTAACATGAGGTTTGAGAAAACATTAAAAGCTATTTAAGGATCATTCAATGAGTCCTATGAGAAGATTCCTTAATAAAGATAAATTGATAAAAAGTAACTTTTAATTCTCTGAATAATTTTGCTGCTGATGACTCTCAAAATAGCTTATATCTTTATTTTTTATAAAACTCTTTGTTTTTCAACGTACTCTAATTGAGTAAATTCAATTTAAGTGTTTTCAAATCATGTGATTAAACAGGATTTATGTAATATTAACTTTTGAAAAAATATTTTATATTATAGGATGCAGCAGTCACGTGACTACTAAGCCACCTGCAGTAGGTCTATATAATCTCAGATTGCGTATCTCAGTTAA